TTATTATTATTATTATTATTATTATTATTATTATTATTATTATTATTATTATTATTGTTATCATTGTTATTACTATTATAAATTTTGTTTTCTACCTAATCGTTTTATTATTATATAAACCCAATAATTTATCAATTCTCTTCCTACTAACTTTTATTTAAATGAAAATTATTTTTTATAATTCTGTTACATTTTAGTTAAATGTAAGCGTTAATTTCTGCTACTACAAATATATTATTTGTTTAAAGTTTAAATAAATGGATCGATTACAATTCAGAAGGGAAAAAAAAAGGAAAAATTAATTTCTGACATATGAACTTTTAAAAACAACTGCTTTTCTTTTTTATTTTGCCTAAAATGGATAACAATTAAAATAATTGTTGTATTATAGAAGAAAGTGTGAAAAAAGCAAAAAAAAAAAGCGATAAAATTTTGAAATCATTTCAAAGCTAATGAAAGAAAGGATAAGACTAACATTCGATCATTATTGTCGTCATGAATATGTACTGATGATACTAAACCACACATTACCAATTTACAGGATATATATTCTTCTAAAATGATGAAATTTTATTAAAATATCATGAATATGTTAATGAATCGTTTATAATGTTAAAGAATAAAAAAAAAAAAAACGCTAAATCGGAAGAAGCCATTCGTATAATTTTTATTAAAAAATTGCCATTATTTGTTGTAAATGATAACATTTTAAAAGTTAATAATACTTTGTTATTATTCTTCCTAATAAAATCTTTTTTTTTTCCATTACTAATATTAAGAATTAGTTTTAAGTGAAAATTTAATCTTTTATTGGCTAAAATTTTATGGTTTTTTTAAAATAATTTTTCATTAATAAATAAGATATCATTGAATTATTCATTTATTAAAATTTACAAATTATATTTCGATTCGATTTCTTGGATTAGAATAAATATTTTTAAAAATTTTTTCTTTTTTGCAAAAAGAAAATTGTTATTGAAAAACTTTTGGTTTGAAAACTTTAATAAAAAAATAATTACAAGTTTAAATTACGCCTTTTAGTAATTGAACAAATTCTAAAATTGCTAATTTTCCGCATAAATTAATAATTCATTTTAGCTAAACAGAAATTAGTTATTAGTTAATTAGTTGGCAAATTTTTTTTTTTTGAACATGTAATTTTTTTTATTCTCTTTTGAATTTATTTCGGATATTTATTGAATTCCAAAAAAAAAGGGAGAAGTTTCAGAATTTAAAATATATTCATTAACAATTAGTTATGCAAATAATCAGTAAAATTATAGCGCAGGAAAATATAATGAAAGATAGGATTTAATGGAAATTATAATTGGAAATTATAATTATTCATTAATGGATAGATCAATGTAACAAATTGAAGTAAATTAGTTCAACAATTTATAAACCAAAAATTTAATTCTTTCCATCGATCATTTAACATTTGGCTAATTAGTCAATGTAGTTTTCGCCAATTTTTCATTTAATTTTAGGAAAATTATAAAAACATTTCAACGCTAATTACAATATTCATTATTTTTAACCATAAATAAATTGGAAATTAATGAAATTGGTAGATTTGGTAGGAAAAAAGAAGAGGAAATTAAAAGAATTAAGAGGAAAAGCAAGAACAAGATAAATTGAAATAATTAAAAATAGAATGTTAAAAAGCTAATAGATATATTTATATGATAGTCACTTATATGATAATCATTATCTTTATTTCGCTATCATCATAAAATTATCACTTTCATTTCATCGTTTCATTTCATCGTCGTAAATATTTTCGATATTGATAATTTCCCCCGTTATCACATCTGTGTTAACATTTAATAAATTCCACTAGAGTTTTTCAACATGTTGTCATACTTAATCAGTGATTTTATCATTTGATAATGATAATGATTAAGCAATGAACTGTTAAAAGAAAGCAAAGAATGATTGAATGATTGAAAGCTTAGTACTGTCAGTTTTAAATAATCAATTTGAAAAATAAAAAGCATAAATAAAACAATTTAAGGTTAATTATTTATAAATTATATGATTTCATCAATTCATCCAACACATAGTCAATAGTAAATTGCAAAAACACTATATTGAAACCATAACTACTGCAAAAAAAAAAAAAACATATGCAAAAAAAGATCGGACTGAAAAAAAAAAAATTAAAATAACTTGAATATTGATTTTAAAAAAATTAATAAAATTGATACAAATAAGAAAATTTGATAATTTAGAACAAAAATTATCAAATAAGCATATGTTCTGAGGATGAAAACAAAATGATAAAAGCGAAAGAGAGGTGAAGTTTTTGAAATTTGAAACTTAAATAACGGTTATCTTAACAATAATGATATATCTGCAAACAAAAACTTTTCTTTTTTTTTTTGAACAAAAAAAAAAAAGAACGAAAGAAAAGATTTTATGTATCTATTTTTTTTTCTTTTTTCTTTTTTTTTTTTTTGAACGAATAGATAAAAAAAATTACATTTATTTTATTGCTCAATAATAAAATAAACAATTACGAATAAAAAATTGAACATATTAAATTAATAAATGAAAATATGTATCATAATAAATTTGAACAAAAAAAATAAATAAATAAATAAAAAAAACAAAGGTAAAAACTTGGATAGTATTTTTTATTATCATTATTATTTAACATATTTTTATGTTTTAAATTTTCAAAGTAACAATTTTTCAAGTATATCATTTAATATATTTTTATGTTCCTTTTTTTTTGTTTTAAATTTTCATTTTCAAAGTATTAATTTTTCAAAATATAATAATAAAAAATTTTGAAATGATAAAAATTTGGCAATAATATAAAGATGATGTTTAGATGAAATGAATTATTTGAATAAATGAAAATATTTGCAATGTTAATTTTTATTTGATAAATTTTCAGCAATTAACTTTCGAGCATATTTTTTTTGCAAAAAAAAAGAAAAATTCAAAATTAAAGAAAAAAAATAAAATGAATTTATTGTAAAATAATTAAAATATTTTGTAAATTATTTCATATTATTAGCATGCTTATCTAAGATGAAATTTGTTATCAATTAAATATAACTGAATATGAAATAAAAAAAAAAAAAAGATAATATGCAATTATAAATTTCAATTATACTACAAAATTTCATTTTAAATTATACTAAACTTGTAAACAATCAGCTATGCTATATGATTATCCTCAGTAACATAAATGATTTGTTATGCTTTCAGGATGTATATCCAATGAAATTATACACAAAATATTGATCGTTTTATCGATGAAACAACTGTCATATCAAAATTTAATGTGACAATTTAATTTAATTTGAATGAATTAATCAATCTTTCATCAATTTTATATCATTTGAATTAAATGCTAAAGATGAAAGATATTTTCACCGCTTTTGCTTTCATCTATTTATCCCTTAGAGCAGGTGTTTCTTAACCAATGATCCATGAGGATAGCAAATGCGCTAAGCAAAAGATAGGCAAAGATTGTTCCTTATCAATGTTTGATAAAGTAATGTGTTGAAAGTCCCGGTTTATGGTTTATTTTCGAATTAATATCTACTTTTAAATTCATTTTCAAAATTGTTATTTTTGAATTTTTTGATTTTTGCTATAAATATAACAAGTCAAAATTATCCGTGATCAAGTGAAAGATTGGACGCAACAGATAAGAACTGAACAACTCTTGGTTTAATTGCATGTTGAAGATTTCTCTGATCTTGTTTATAAAACAAATGTGACGACAAATGTTTTATAAATGTTACCAAGTAAATTGCAATGTACAAAGCTTTATTTCAAAAATGGTGTATAACAGAAAGAAAGATAATATTGATAAATTTATGATAAATGGAATATAACATTGTTAATTGAAGTGAAGTGAATATAGATATCGCAGTTTCAAAATTCATCACTGAACAATTTAAACTAACAGCATAAAATAAATAGGTGTTAAAATAAATATGATAACATAGGGAATTTATGCTTATGAGAAATTTATGAATGAAATGAAGCAATGCCTACGAATGGTACCAACATTTTTTTAGCTGAAAGACATAGTACTCAGTAAAGTGTTACTGAAACATCTCCTCGAGAAATTATAACATTAAATTCGTTTTTTCTCATTCAAAAAAGGAAAATGACCAAAAATTTGCATGTGAAATTACTGCAAATGCAGTGTAACCTGATTGCCAATTTGCATCTTTCATTCTATTAAACAAACACACATACGATATAATGCGATTCCGGAAAGAGATATTGATCAAAAACTTGGAACCAGAAATATTAAAATCTCTTCAGCGCTAATCAAATATAAACAAATCACATGATAAAAATAACGAGACTTATTCTTAGTTCTTTGGATTAACATATAACTGAGCAAAAAGGCATTTAAACAGAACTCCAAGAAACAACATAATTGCATAGGTCCCATGGGGTATATATCATTTTCCCTTGAACACTTTATCATAGTCCATGATCAAACGATAACAAAAATTATTCAGGTTATTTAACTGAGTTATTGGAACCTGAAAAAAGCGAATAAATTGTCATAACTAAGCATAACAAAAGAAAATTTCCCATATTATTTCTCAGTCCTTCTTCGACTGTTGCACATTTCGAAGAAAATGGTTGCTTTGTCCAAAGCCAACTGACGATACTATAGACAATGTGAAATATCAATTTTACCTCGCGATCTGTAGGCCATGTTAAGTTTGGACCAAAAACAACACTGAGATTGTTAGCATTCATCAAGTTTTCTTTGCTGTTAGCAGCTACCTGGAAAGTAGAAAAGTAAATCCAAAAAACTTTCATTGGATACAAAAGCATTTTTTGACAGGAATACTTCCTAGGCAAACAGTACTGGATCATATCTCTGCCATAAATTAGTGTAAATTGTATGAAGATGAAAACTGCCTAAAGCGACTAAAATCAGTAACTACTATTGCAATTTGTAGAAATGAAAAACAAAAAACCTCTGTCAAGAACTGGCATACAGTCTTCAACAACATTCGATTTCCAAGTGGGAGAGCATCCACGATTTCAATGATCGCTCCCAATTTATTGTCCTTTGGCAATTCTAAAGAAAGAAGTGCTCCTGCATAATTTTTACCACTTTCTCATCGATCTCTCTAATCCTTTTAGAGTTCCTAAACGTCCCTACATTCACGATATGATTTACAATGAAATGGATAGAATTCTTTAAATATATTCCTATACAGATCAGTGACCAATCAAAATTGACAGTACCTGAGAGAGCAGTAAGTTTGGGGTATAATGCATTGGTAATAACCGGCTCACCCAGTGAACGCAAAAACGTCTTCAATAAGACCGAAGCATCGACAGATGCTGCTAACAAATTATTCTTATATGGTTCTTCATTCAAAAAATCTATTTTTTCACCTGCAAACGATTTCACAGATGATAAGCCAAGAACTAAAAGATAGCTATAACAAAAAAAGTCATTATTAAAGAAGAGAAAAGAATCGAAAAATGCACGTGCATTTTAATAAAACTTTTTAATTTTGATCACAAACAGTTCATCACACAATTTCAAACAGAGTTAAGAGAATATACGAACCTCTATCAATACGTTCCTGCAATCTTCGAATTGAATTAACTTCAGCAGATCGCCTGAATAACCCAACAACATTTAAGGAATTGTCTCGCAGAAATGCAGTGAGATCAGTGACTACGGGAGGTACATCACAGTCAGGATTGTGTGATAATATGCTACAATATTCCATTCATTAAATCAATTCATCCATATACTGCTACTACCTTTTAACACTTACTTGAATCACATCTAATCGAAATTTTCGATATTCCAAAATTTTGGCAGCTATTTCCATACCTGAACCACTGTATCAACATGATAAGGTTGTCTGTAAGGCTAGGAATATGCAAACTCCTTCACCATTTCTCCTATACTTTAAACAACTCACAATTCCAATGGAACATTGAACTGTTGAGTTGGACGTGGGGTTGGGCAGGATCTTCTGGTCAGTTGTGATTTGTCAGGTGTAATGCGTGAGGCCAAAAGAAGTGATGAGTCGTGACTAAAAGGATGAAATTAAAGTAGCAATTTAAAAGATAATTAATTATAGGATTACTAGAGAAAGATGATTAATTAATTAGAGAATCACCCCCTTCCGCATCCAATAACAATTTTCAAAATAAAGAGCGTAACCATCTCATTCGCACTGTCATATATCATTGCGTCATTTACCAATTTCAGGTAAAACTTCTTATGATTTTGAATGTTAGAAAAAATGTACTCTTTGATAGGCTGCGGGAGATTGAGTTGCTCCACGCGCAAAACCGAATCCAATTCATGCAAGTAATTGACGTAATGAATCTTCCGCTCAAATTTAATGGATATAAATGGTTTGAAGATGCTCCAAACAATACGAATGAATCGTGTCGGATGAACCAGATAAAGCGCTTTCAAGTTCTTCTTGTATCTATACAAAATTCATAAAACAAATCATTTTGAATATAAAAAAAGTATAGATGAGGATAAATCACAGCCTTAATACTATCACTTCTGCCTCACATCTTATAATCAATCAATAGAACATGTCGCAAAAAACATGTCGCGAAAAATACGAAATTTCTGCAAAATTAGTTCAATATCTGCCAGCAAAAAAAAGTAAATGTTTGCTTTGCAATGATTCCTTGACCTGAAAAGAAAAAGAAGGAAAGCTCACTTTCTGTCTAGAATGGAGTTTGCTTGAAGTAACCATTTTAAGGATGGTTTGTTATTACTTCGCAATCCATAGTGGAAATACACAATAGTATAGTCTAACTCAACCAATTTATCCAGTGTAAATTGCAAAAATCTGTAACCAACATTTTTTATACTTAACTATCATGGGATCGATTGAAATATCATATAGTACAGAGAAGTCATCGGTTTTTGCACCTATCTATGAAGTTCTTTTACATTCTTTTGAAATAGAATATCAGAAGAGATGTCCTGAATTAAAAGAAAAAAAAAGGAGTCTGAACAAGTTCAATTTCGTCATCGCTAAAGTTATAATCAGAAATGATGATTCTAAGGAAGAAATTATTCGACCAGATTTTAAAAGCGTAAAGAATTCACCGTAGAAATTTCGCGTGATCAAACGTTTTATTTGAAGGAAGCCGATAAGCGTAGATCACAACAATCGGCCTGAAACGGATGATTGATGAGATAAGAAAATAGAACAGTGCAAATAATTATGCGTGAAAAGAAAAAAAAAACACGAAAGAACAGGTAAATTTAAAAAGACACCTCCCCACCCAATCACCGTCGGCAATCACATTCACAATCTCATGCTGACTTATATTGGTGAAATCTTCCGCAAACGGATCATCTGCTGAACAACCAAGTTCCTTCTCAAAATTATCGCGTTCCAGAAACGAAGATGTGATAAGAATTGGATCATCCAAACCTAATTCCTCTGCAAAACTTCACAGAAAACTTTGACTAGACAGTTAACAAAAATTCCGTAACTATATCCCTTCCAAAATACAGAAATGAAAATAAATTCTATATGTAAATCTTATCAATTAACTACAGTACTTGTATCAGTCGATAGTGCAATAAATATAACATCGCATTAAGGTACCGTCATATTAACATATTTACTTACTATCAACTGTATTAATATATGCTGATGAGAACAAAGAAAAAAAAATGAAAAACTTAACTGGCATTAGCCACTTAAGATAATAAATCAAAATGCACCGAAAGCTATTCCCTGTGATGAAAGTTTTCTGATCCAGTAAAAACTTGTTTACCTGGCTTTTATGAGCCGATATAAATCATGTCATAACTTTTGCTCGTATCGTTTTGATATAATTTACCTCTCAAACTAAGAATAATAACATTTTCACTCTAATCCCGATGATTTCCAATTTTTCTGTTCAAATAAAAACTTACTATTCAAACTAGCACCACTCATATCATCCAAGCCGAACAAATCATCCTCAGCAAATTCCGCATCCGGTTCCACAAAACCGGCATTTGCAAGCTCACAACTTCCCATTGTCGTTTGTCGTTTGAATCTTGCCAACACTTATCAATATTCCATTTTTTGAAAATTATATCGTTTCCTTTTCCCAATCGTCACAATTTTCCCTCTTTCACAGTCGTACAGTAACCGAAAAAAATTCCGGTTTCAGTCAAAGGTATCGAGAAATATTCAAAAAATCATTCTTTTCTACCATGTCGTCTCTGACCTTTGCACTCATGTAAGGTAAAGTAAAACAATCTCAGAAAAGAAACCGGGACGAAACCTTCCAAACCACTGGCAGCCTTCGCCGAAAAGTAACTATATAGGCCGCGTCATTTCATAACAGGCCGTATAATTTCGAGCACGTGATAGCATTGTTGTTAACTGCGGGATGAAGGAAATAGTTGCGGAATAGGTGGAGGTCAATAGGTCGCGAAGCTTGTCTTTATTAATCGCTGTGTTGAGTGGGTACCTGTGAGGAATAAGGGTGAAGTGTCACTTACTATTCATATTCTTAATTGATTTGATGCATGGAAGTACGGTACCTAACCAAGATATGGTAATTGAATGAATTCAGTACAGTAGTACAACATTAAATAGAATGGATCGTTTTATCTCATAAACATTTAAATTTACCGTGCTATATGGGTATTCGACAGATCTGTTAATTCAAACGCATGGTATACAATCTGACTAAGATATTGCCAGAGTTTGTGGATTCTTAATTTGCTTATATCATTCATCATTTATGAATCTGAGACAGAGTGAGCATTTAAAAAGCATGATATGAACTCGGAATGCAGCTATCTACAGAATTTTCATAATTAAGTCGCGCTTTTTTGGATAGAGTAGTTGAAGTAATATTTCAAATAGTATCGAAAAAGGTCAGAATCTGACAAATGTATTATGAGTTTTTGATATTAATTTATTTAATTTCTCTATGGGACATGCAAGATAAAATTTCATGTATTTGCAGTTTTGCCAGAATTATCGAAACTGATCAGTTTATAATATTTTTCTATAGTACAACAAAAGGATCCCCTATTATCGTAAACGTGTGAACGTGAATTTATTAAGTTAAGCGAACATAGTTTCCAAGGTTTTTTTGATCGAAACATGTAATAGCAAGATTTCGTAAAAAAAAACAAGAAAATTATCACTTACATATTCCGAACGTAATCGATTTTCAGTGAAGAGTTCCGGCGGACCACGGAACAATCAAAAGGAAGAGCAATGCCTAATCATGGACTGTGAACTGTAGATCTGGCAAGGATTTTAAGGATCTGTCAAGTATTTGAAGAATCTATCAGCATTATCTAAAAGAAGCCATCACTGTAGCAGAGCTTAGATGGCCCGAGAATCACTCACGCAGAACAGTAATTTACATGGACGAGTAGCAGAAATTATTCCGAAAAAGCTCTTTTTCTGTGCATTCCAAAATCGACCGAAGCCAGACCGTTCTACGGATTATTATTACGTCGACGACGAAGTGCATTATGACAGTTTCTATTCCGATTTTGGCCCATTAAATCTGTCTGTGCTTTACCGATTCTGTCAAAATCTCACGGAAAGATTAGAGGTATGTCTAAGAGTATAAAGAGCCACTCATCGTCAACTTTCCTGCATAGATTTCTTCTGCTAAGAATTTTCATCGGATTTCAGGAATAGAAAAAATCATCGGTCCATAAGCTCTCCGAATAGACAAATTTCTTTCCTCGACTTCTGTCTGTTTTGTAGTCCTGTAGCTCTTACAGCTTAAAATAATTTTGTGCTTGAGATCATTTGATAATGGAGGAGAGCTAAATGCCAAGACAGTGGTCATTTTGTTTTCACGCCTATTTATTATGATAAAAAAATAAAAGAAATTATTTGTGAAATATTTCTTTTTTTCGAATTTAGGAGGTGGATGGTGAGAAATCTGTAGTGGTATGCTGCGGATCTGCCGATGAATGTCGGGTAAATACAGCTTATTTAGTGGGCTCTTATGCGGTAGGTTCTCACTCTTAAATCTTGTTTTTATTTAACATGATTATCCTACTGAATTGAAAAATAAGGCGAATTGAACTTTCTTTTATTTAAATGGAAAACAAAAAGTAATTTAAATCAAAGCAAAGGCAGTACATACAGCGTATATAAAAAAAATAGGATAATAAGATATATAAAAAGCGTATATAAAAAAGAATAAGAACGATGTTTAAATATAAGATATAGAAATTTAGAAGGGAAAAAATAAGAAAAATAACATAAACGGGATGGATGACAACAAAAATAACGAGGTAAAATTGATTGAAATAAATTCGCCCTGGGTTATATATAGACGAAATAATATTTGAAAGCAATCATCCTATTTGGCGAGCTATTAATATCATTTTTTTGTTTTCCAGATTCTTTATCTGGGAATGACGGCCGAAATAGCTTATTTACGGATACACAAGGCGGAACCGAATGGCTTTATCGGATTTCGGGATGCAGCGATGGGCCCCGCAACTTACAGACTACACCTTCACAATGTACTTCGCAGTATCGAGAAGGTATTTATATAGAGCGCACGATATTTTCTTAATAGTCCTACATTTACTAAGTAATTACTAATCAGCAGCAATGTATTGGTGGTTCAACGTAATTTTTGGGATAGGGAAATTTAACAAGAAAAACTAAATTTTCATCGATAAATTTCCTCCACAAATTTGCAGCAGTGTTTTACTTGCAGAGATGTTTCCGGAAAGTTTTTGGTTTACCTTCCACTACATAGCAACAATTTGTACATAACGTATACAAGAGAGAGAGAGAGGAGGGAGACAGAGAGAGGGAGAGAGAGGAGGGGGGAGAGAGAGTGGGAGAAAGAAGCGAAACTGTAGCAAACATATAGTGAGTGCGTGGTTCTTTCTCACTCTTAAATTGTAACTGGGTTTTTGAGTTCAGCGAAACAATCTATATGAAAGACTATCTCATTCTTTGGCAGTTCTAAAATTCATAAATAGAAGAAGCAACTCTGAACATAGATACACTACTGTCGACAGCAGAAAAATTAACAACCCCAAAATGCTACCGCTCAGTAGCTCAACATACCAACATATCGATAACAATTTGTTGCATAATAGTACAGACATCGAGAGCAGTCCGACCATTTACCAGTACTTGTCAGCAAACATATAGTGCAGCAGCAGTACAGATTGAGATAAATGAAATGACATAGTTGCTAGTAGCTGAAATATTTTAATAATATAAAAGGTATTTATTATATTTAAAGATGATTTAACAAGTATTCATAGAGAGCCACGAAAACTTACAAAGCTACTCTATCTTTTAAGAAAATTACTCCTCCATCTTCTTCGCGACATCATTCATTTGTTAGATCTTCAATAAGATGATACTTTATAGCTTGTGGTAGAGATTAGGAACAAAACTTAGGAACAGTTAGGAACAAACTAAATTGTAGAGAAGTTCGAGACGATGATGCTTCCGCTTGCGATTTCCTTCTGGATAACATTAGATGCATCGTTCTAAAAACTACGTTATCTTAACTGCAACACAGGCAACTACGATTAATAAAGTCACAGTAGAAGAAAGACGAAATTGATTATCTACTTATAATGAATATTGCATGTATGGTTTATTGTAGGCAATGAAATTCGGTTGGTTGGCGTTTGACACTTTTGATCCGGATGAATATGAATATTATGAAAAAGTCGAGAATGGCGATCTGAACTGGATTATACCGACCAAAATACTAAGCTTCTGTGGACCGCACAATAAATCAGTTATTGAGAATGGTTAGTGTCAAGTTTCCTCTTTATGAATTCTTCAAGTTCATTTAAAATATAGGGTATTTGTAACTAATTAGTCGTGACTGTTATCATCGTCTAAACTCAACTAGAAGGGAGCTGGCAGTGTGACTATTATATGATAGATGAAAAAAGATTTAATTATCGAAGAATTTCAGGTTATCCATATCACGCACCGGAAGTGTATTTTGATTATTTCCGCGCGCATAACATTTCAACTATCATACGGCTCAACAAGCGTATGTATGATGCCAAAAGGTTTGTTTTCATCGTATTGATGGTAGGAGGTATGGAAAAATGATGGCGTTACCCGCGTTTTGTTTTTTAGAATGTTTCCCAGAAAGTCATTTTTGCAGGTTTTTAGACGCAGGTTTCGAGCATATCGATCTCTTTTTCGTTGACGGTTCAGTGCCATCTGATGAAATCGTCGAACGGTTTATCAATGTTGTTGATAACGCCAGAGGAGGCGTGGCCGTTCACTGCAAGGTATTTGAATATTTAAATCAGTTAGCCGTAGATTGCAGTACTTTAACGAATACTTCTTATTTGCATCAAATTTCAGGCAGGGTTAGGTCGAACCGGGACGCTGATAGCTTGTTGGTTGATGAAGGAGTATGGCGTGACAGCAGCCGAATCAATTGCTTGGTTACGAATTTGCAGGCCTGGTTCGGTGATTGGGCCACAACAAGAATTCCTTATTGAAAAGCAACCATGGTGCTGGGCAATGGGTTCCAAACCCGCTGCCACTCATCTTTCACAACTGGCTACTAAGGTTTGCTAGTCAGAAATTTTTCCTCAGTTCAGCATTCAGATCAAAATAAGACACAATGTTGTTTATTAGTGACTTGGAGTATCGTCGGAAATTTTTTAGGTGAATGAAATTCGTATTGAAGATTCGAGTTCGAAAGGAATAGTGCTGCCAACATCTCGGCCTACCTCACTGAAATCTTCACCAAGAAAGGCCTACGAAGTTGTTTATTTAAGAATAGAAGAAAATTATGCATCTTCTAGAACAAAGAAAAAGAGCTAATTGATTCTCAGTAAGTGACCATTCTTTTTAATTATTCTATTTTGCAGCTAGAAACAATGGTAGAAAAGGAATGTGGTGAGAAGAAAAGAGAAAAACCAAGCCAGGGTGATCATCTGCTGGTGCAGAAGGCTAAAGCACAACGGACTATGGTATCACATGCAAAATTTACATCACCTACTACCCCCGTTAAACCGCTGTCAACCAACAGTAACACAATGACAAGACGCCCTTTGAGAAGCTATGGCGATGTCAGCATACCACCACCGGTAATTTTGATCACTGTGATATCTGAGTATGAGATATCGGAATGTGCAGATGAATATTTCTAGCTGGCTTCGATATTGTTATATAAGCAAATAAGAGAGAGTAGGATTGCAGATTTGAATTTATCACAAAATACATGCTTGATTTTGTATACCAGAGAATTGGTAACGTGTCGAATGCTGTCTAGTGAAAGATGATGTGGTTTGAGATGCAAAGTGTTATTCCACATGTAATTAAGAGTGCTATAACAAATTTTTCCCTTTTTTTATACCTGAAGAATTACTACGGAGTAATTGTTGATAAGAAGAAAAACATTAAATTAGGTCAAAGTACGATCACATTCCCAGGGATATTTGTACCTCATAGTAGAATATGTTCAGATCTCACGAGTTACGGTATCTGCAACGACTTCTGTAGCGAATAATAGACCGTTAACAAAGTGCAAATCATCACGAAGACTTGCCACGTAAGTTATTTTCTTTTCGTTTTGCAGGAAATAAGATTTAGTGAAACTGCAAGACGGTTTGTTACTATGTTTCATAATAATAACCTAGTCATTTATTGAATTATCGTGAGAAATAAGTGATTTATTAATTAAAAATTATTTCAGGATACGCAACAAACCTTATGCATGCTCAGGAGTTAAAGTTAATTTGCCAGCATCGGTTTATGAACTAAGGCCTAGAAACAATAATAAAACATACGGTGTGTTTCGTTTTACTGATCCTGCCAAGGAGCTTGCACCCAATTCGGTTGCCCTTATCGGTATTTCTGTAAGTATTTGCATAGTTTTTTCACTAAATATTATGTTGTCTGGAACATTTGTTTTCAGAACCATTCATTTTCCATGAACTATGAATCATTTCTAGATACTATTGAGAAAAGACTAAAGCCTTATGTAACAATTAACTTGCGCATTCTAGGCTCGGCGAAATCTGAGTGAATTATAAAATAGACAATCAATATCCGGTCTTGACAAACGGTAAGTGCTTAATGTAAAAACAGGAATGTACACCAAAGCATTTAATGATCTTCCTTCTAGTGGTCGAGAGGCGGGTACGATTTAATCCAGTTGAAATTTTATCTGTATTCCGTACGGCATTTTTTTTTACCCTGTATAGAGTTGAACATTTTTAATTTCCTTTGGTGGTTTACCAGTTTAATTTCTTTTCATCTCATTGTTGGTAGTATCTTTGTAGCATATCTGTTTTTGTAGTTGTAGTCGTGGAAGCCTTCCACATATTAATCTTATGGTAGTAGCCCAGCCGTTATTGTTTGAATTTCGTTGAAAATAACGGTTTTAAGTCTTTGGAACTGAAAATTTTTGACTTGAATAGAAATAGAATTGCTGGGCTTTTGTCACTTTCCCATTGTATTTTTTTAAACTGTGCTTTTTCGTATTTGTAGTTTCTATTAATTTGTATGAAATGTATATGTTTTAATGTATGTATTGTTCTGATCGATGCATTTAGGAGAGCCCTCCCAAATTCGCGCTTTGTGGCCTTCTATTGCAGTTGAATGCTTCCCGTGCTTGGCAACATATATATAGTTTACGTAAGATAATAGCCTCACTCTTAGTTCTTAGTCTTTTGAGTTATCCACCATACCAGTTTTATCGTATCTTGTGGTTCGGCAATGACATATTGGATGAGAAACCAGCAAAACGGCTTTCTCAGTTCCATAACATCAGAAACCAACAGAATTTTTCAATTTCATCGCACTTATTTGTTGAGCAGATAGATGCTTGACAGGAATTACGATTATAAATATACTGAGACCAGTGTACAACAAAGAGCCTTCATTATTTTTATTGAGATCCCACAATTCCTATGTATTGTTTAGTCGTTTGAACACAAGATGCCTTCCTTTCTATATAAGAAGTTCAAACTGGTGGATTGATTACTAGAATGACACTATTAACACAGCTTAAATTGTTACATTATGACTGAGGCTAGGAATTTTATATGCTAGAAGGCTAGAGTATGCTAGGGACTTTGCAAACAATTTTTTTCTTTTTTGAAGGACCGAGATAATACTAAGATATGTTTCTCTCAATATTCCTGTCAATAGTACTCTTGCAATTGTAGCTGTGCATTTATTAACACTTCAACTGCTTTTATTGCATAATATATCACTTTTAATTCAACTACTTCAGATAATATGTCCGTTTTTATCTAGCTATTTTTATGTTGCGGCAGACTGCTACAAGCTATTCTATTAGTCTTGCTGCCATATTTCTTTGACAGATTTTTAATCAATTTTTATAAAGAATAACTTCATATCACTAGTTGCATTCTATTTGTTGTCATGTGTAATCATCCAGAGGAATCTTCAGTCAAAGCTTCAAACAATGGTTAACTATATTATTGACGCAACAGATGTCTGAGGAACAGAAATTGAGTTCGGACCGTGAGAGAGTACACAACAAAGAAGTTTTTCTTTTCTCTTGACAAATTCCTAATTATTTCCTATAAAAACCCAACGAACAATAACAAGCTTTTGTAAAACAGATGTAGAGGATATCATTTAATCCATCCATAAACGGAAAAATACTATACGGGAAAACAACACTAACCGTCTTCATATTTTTTCTTTCCGTGAAATGGGAAGGAATGCAGACCTCTGCTGATATCGTTTTTTCCTATCGACAGTTGCATACCTAGCAAATAACGAAAAATGAAACATAGCAACAAAACTTTGCGCATCAACGCATGAGATATACGCGTTTAAAAATACCAAACAATTTCCCTCGTTTTCTTTTGATAAATTCCTAATCGTTCCATAGAGGAATGAATGTTTGAGAAAAAAAAGTAACGTGAGAAAGGATGAAAGCAGGGTTACTTGTAATATTGTGCATATATCACGATCATAATGGAACAAGAAGGAATCAGGCAGAACATCAAACAATTTGAAAAGCATAAAGCATTTTGAATAAAAAACAATTTGAAAAATCAACTAGTTGAAAAAACAGACTGACTTTCACCGATGCGATAGCTGAACAATGGAAAATTCAATGCAAAAACCGAAGGTACAATCAACAAATAACCCAAAAGTAGCCTAACAGGAAGTGTTGCAAAAATATCCAAAATCAAAAGAAAGGACTCCATCTTCACGATGCTCTAGCATGTCTGCAGTTCAATTAAGTGCTGCGTAACACATGATAAATGCTTAAGCAAAGTTAATTTTACGAATACATGGATAGTATTCACTACTCATAACTTTTTAGCAAGAAAAAGAGCATGGTTGTCAGCCAATGATGCCCCAACGATACGATAACCATCAAGATGTGCCGAAGTAATCTTCCGTGGTCGCGAAACCATCTTCTCCTCATCATCTTTAATCCCCAAACCGAGCTGACCGGAAGAATCATAACCCCAAGAGTAGGCATTTCCTAAAAACAATTGTAAAATGTACTCCGATTAACCTGCATCTATCAAGAAGCATTTTGTTATTTATAACACTGATCGGGAACTAACCATACATCCTTACAGTCAATAACTTTCAATTTAGCCAATGATAATCAAAAGATACCATTATCAGTCCAAACAATCGAGCAACCAAGACTAGCCGATATTCCCTTGACCTGCTCTGGTATGTCAATCTTCTGCAGTTCTGAATACTTCCAGTGGTCATCCTCCTTACCATTCCACGTGCCCAATCCGAGCGCATTGTCCGTGTTTTTTCCAATGCCATATACTTCGCCTAATAAAGTTCTTTGTTTTTAAAAGTTTGCGTACCAAATGATTATATCAGAAACACTTGAAAAGTCATTAAATATTTCTAACAGTAAAACCGTTGAAAACCAGCCCGAAATAGGTAGGAATGGGATGGCAGCAACAAGCACAAATTAAAATAGGTACAGAAAATTCTTAAGTTCATGATGATGCAGAATCATTACCCTGTGCATTCAAAGCAACGATATGTTGGATACCACTCAGTTCAACAACTGCTGTGCTTCCGAATGCGCTCGCCTTAACCGGATGCATTATTTTCAGTTCTGGTTGACTACCTACAAAATCCATCATAGACCTAATTAACATATCTGATAAGAAAGGAGAGAATTTTTTATATTTCTCTTTGAATAATATATAGAAAGCTGGTCATTTCGATTCTTGAATGATATCAGACTCAATTTTTCTGGTTTCGAAAGAAATGTACCAAGATTCGACGGATCCGATTGTCGCACCTTACCTACAAAAAATTCGCCTACTTAGTGTAGCAAAAAGTAAAGAGAAGCATATGAATTTTCTTGCGCTCTCGCTAAGTAGCGAAAGAAAAACCCCAGTACAGACCTTCATCTTCTGGAGCTTCTGGTGTTGGTACACCCAACTGCCCAAAATTGTTTAATCCGCAGACATAAACAGTGCCATCAATGGATCGAGCAGCAGTCCAAAATCCACCAGCCATAATGTTGTCGAACAGGACCAGTTTCTTCTTCCCCTTATCGTAAACTGAAATTCTTAACGAGTCTGGTGAATCGTTCACCATTCGCTGGGAGCGAATGTGAGAAACCCGTGAACATCTCCCTAATTGGCCAACTGAGCCATCGCCGAACGTTAACACTTCGCCATTCTCTGTTAGCATTACCAAATGATTCTCGCCTGCTGCAATCTGTAAAATTTTCATAAACTTAATCAGTAAAAGCAATTACCCAACCTACTCAAGAACAAAGAGTTACCCAAATTCACTACACATCTGAACGACGATACCTTTACGATGACTTTTTGTTGATGTTGCACTATGACCACTGGTTGTTTCTCC